ACACATGAGAGTCCACACAGGACAGAAACCTTTTCTGTGTGAGGWCTGTGGACATAGATTTAACCACAAAAATAGTTTAAACAGACACATGAGAGTCTACACAGGACAGCTAGCTGAAAAAAGCTAGTGTAACTTTTCTGATTATTTTTTGTTTTTCATTTTCAGAAGTAATGCAGAGTACATGACTTATATATTAGTGTTTTCCTATCACTTAGTGCAATAACAAGAAAAACAGAAAAAATGCCAGTTACAGTAAAGAAAAATCATACATAGACATAAAATGTTGGTAGTATTCAGGGTTCAACAAGATTTATTTTTTTTACCTGCCCGACCCAAATGTTACCTACCCGACATGAAAGGTTACCTGCCTGAAAAAAAAAATTCAAAGTTGGAAAAAAATTTAAAAAACTTGTACTGTACTTTGTACTACAAAAATCTTAACGATTACAGAGGTACATAACATCTGATTAAACAGATGAAAACTTTGCAGACTGAGTCACAGTCAACTGTTTTATCAAAAACATCTAAAACTTTTTTAGACCTTTCCAGTGTTTCCCTGGAGTACTGGCCTTGGGAGGTCTGCTTATAAAAACAGAATGATCAACAGCAGCAGCTTTGTTTTAAATACAATTTACAGAACATGAAAACGTCTGCAGTTTGCATTAATTGTATCTTATATAGCCTATCTCATATCTAAAGATACATTTAAGATATCTTGAACTGGAGTCTCCCTACAAACAAATGATAAATCTGATGTTATTTATACTAGTCAGAATATAATTAGTAATAACTAAAAAAGGTATTTTGCTTTGTCAAAATATATTAATGTCTGTTTATTTATTTGTTTGTTTCTTTCATTTATAAAAACAAAATCTATGTACAGCATAAAAAAACTAAGTAAATCTTACCCGGAATTAAGAGTGTAGAGTGAAGAAAAAAAAATCTGTTATCATATGTGCCCCTTATTTTCAGAAAACAACTTCAACAAACAAACAAGCTCAAGCTGGAAAAATCTCCAAATTAAAAAAAAGAAAGAATAAATGCAACAAAACAAAAATCATAATGTTATTATTTTATCCCAAATAACTAATATGTCCAATCTAGCCATAAAACTATTTCAGATAACTGGAACGTAAGTGTGGTGAAGCCAAATAAATGTAATATTGGCCTGCCATACAATGAGCTTCTGCCTTTTAAACTTATCTGCTGCGCTCAGAGCAGAAGCCACTGTT